ACCATCTAAGTCGACTCCCCATCTCTCAATTTGACGAATCGGTCCAATAAGAGCTCCTTGAGGAACATCTATTTTCGACACAATCAACTATACCAGGGTATGCCGATATGGTTAATTACTTAGCCATCGGGGTAGTTCCATCCATTCTAAACTATTTCGAGGTAAGTCGTATCAAACAAGAGTCTCAATTTTATATTTCAGATGATCCATATATTTGGAAACATTGCTCGGATCAGGTAATTCGTTGTTGTGTTGTCAAAAGAGAGGTAAATTCTGACCTAAATTTTTGTCATTCTTATTCTTGTAAAGGACACTTTGGACCGAAAAGAACCGCACACAAAATTATTGAATGTAGATTTTACTGGTCTAATATTTTTTGTGATACATATGTGTTTTGTAAATCTTGTGAAAAATGTAAGCACATCGATAATTTAAGTCGTCGTAACTAGATGTATCATAATCTGATTCATGTTTGTGAGATATTTGAAGTATGGGTATTGATTACATGGGTCCATTTGTTTCATCTTTCGGAAATTGTTATATAATTCTTGTTGTCGATTACATTTCAAAATGGGTGGAAGCTAAAGCTACTCATAATAATGATGCAAGAACAAATGTCAAATTTTTAAAGAGTTCTATTTTTTCGAGGTTTTGAAACTCCAAGGGAGATAATTAATTATCAAGGAACACACTTTGTTAGCCGAGTCATCGAGGCATTTATGAAGAAATACGATGTCACTAAATGAGTTGCCACTGCTTACCACCCTCAAACTAATGGAAAAACATAAGTTTTAAATCGAGAAATCAAGTCGATTCTTGACAAGATTGTGAAGCTGAATAGAAAAGATTAGAGTTTGAAACTCAATAATGCCTTGTGGGATATCGTATCGCATACAAAGGTCCCATCGACATGTCCCCATATCATATAGTCTTTGGTAAACCGTGTCACTTGCTGTTTGAGTTAGAACATAAAGCATATTTATCGATTAAAGAATGTAATATGGAGATAGATGCAATCAGCGAAGCAAGGAAATTGCACATTCAAGAGCTTGAAGAAATTCGTCGCAACGCTTACAATAGTGATCAAATATATCAGGATAAAACTAAAGATTGTCATGATCTTTGTATTTCATTTAAATATATTACTGCTGGGCAAAACGTTTTGCTATTTAATTCTAAGTTGAAAATCTTTCCTGGAAAATTGCGAACAAAGTGGTCAGGACCTTTTACCATGACTCAAGTATTTTCCCATGACACAATTGAAGTTCAAGACAATTTGACAGTTAGTTTTAAAGTAAATGGTCAACGATTGAAGTCATATTACGAAAATAATTAAGCATGCGTGATCAAAGAAATTATTTTAGAAGAACATGTAGTCTGAATTAGGTCGTTGAGCAAACGACTTTAAATAAAGCGCATGATGGGAGGCAACCCATTTTATTTTATGTTTGCTTATTTTCTATTTATTTACAATTTCATTTTGTTATATGTTTATTTTATTTTTATTTTGAATTTTTAGGTACCCGAAACAGATTTGGTCAAGCAAATTTGAAGCAGATATGATATTTTTTACCAAACGTTAGCAAGGCTCTTTCTCATGCGGCACAAGTTAGAAAAACCTATCAAATATTTGTACCGTTAACCGTTACCACCCACTTTCTTTCTTTTCCCCTAAAATTCGAACATATTTTATTTTATTTTTCCCACCTTTTTCGCTAATCGATCCCTTATAAATTTAAACACCTTGGGCCCCACCCACCTATTTCTTTCCCAATACAGTTTCACTATTTTTCAAACTCTTTGACTACTCATACTATCCCAATCCCATTAAAACTCTTTCCTTAATTTCTTTTTATTCCCACACATGACCAACTCAAAACCCAAGCAAACCCTTTCTTTATTTTTCTTTAACCAAAACCTTCAATCTTCATCTTTTCACAGTCATGCTAACCAAATTGCACCCTCACCGAACCTTCACCCACCATTTGTCGTGCGTTACCACCACTATCCCTTGGTACACCGCTATATCTCGCCATCACACTCACGATGCTGATCTTTCATTTATCCTTCATCTCTTGGTTGTCAACTCTTCACTTTCCAAGATGGTGAGAATAGGAAATCAAGGCACCGGAAGTTCTCTACCGTCGGTTATTCTAGATGGTCGTTGTCGATTTACCACTCTGACATTCGTACATGTTCCAACCTTCTCCGACTCCATACCCGCGCCTCCACCTTCCCCTTCTCGTTGTGGGAGATGCCAACAACCGCCTCCTTTTCCACTACATGAGCCCAAAACGGTTTACGTTTCAATCCCTGCTTTGACGCTATCCACCGAATGATTTTCTCACGCTTCACGATGAAGTGCTGCTGGCACTTCTCACTCAAGACAACACTAACCGACATCATCCTCAACATTTTATTCGATGCCCACTGTCGTGTCATCTCACTCTATGTCAGACGTTGTCCCCTCCTACTCTATGCATTCAACAATTCCGGAACAATCCAACGAGGTAAATTTCGAACCTTTTTCGATTCAACCCTTACTAATTTACCACCTGGATTTCAACTACGCAGAGGATTTCAGCACCGAGTTTCTAATGGGCAGACCATCGACCGGGCAACCGGGTTACGCTTCATCATCACATTATCATACTGAATAGCCCACTTTACCATCATTCACAACAATTTCCCCCAAAATTCCAATGTCATCTGACGCTCCACCCGATCTCATTGAAAACCCCGAGCAACACCGTAAAGGGCGAACTTACTCAGTTCAGACCGAAGAAGAATTAAAAGGTTTCTTGCAATTCAACGATGACGCATAGGTTTGATTTAACAATATTCGACATCAAATATTTCAAGTTTTTAAGTACATTCTTACTCATACTTTAGAGACTTTGCATTTGATGGATTCCGTTGCACATTACTTCGATGCTATTGGTTGGTCTTTATATCCTAAAATTAAATGTGGAACATTTTATGAAAGACACGTTTAAGTTTTTGTAGCATCGTGTGTTTAGCGTGACTTCCCCGGATGTTATTTCTTTTCGGTTGTTGGGATAGTATTTTCAAATGTCTATTTATGATTTCAATTTTTCTATAGAGTTTATGACAGATGTCACGGACCAAGGCTATTTGACATCTTTGCTTGACATGCCGCAAAATTTTGACGCAAACAAAGCTTATTCCGCTCTCACCGCCTCGGCGGGAAAATCTACAATGCCTGAACAACAAAGGGATGACACAACCATGACCCCGTACTTCGATACATCCATCGGTTATTGCATACAACTATTTGGTACATGACGATATTATGTTTTGCTTAAGTAAGGTTCAATTGTTCTTTTTATGGTGTATACTAATCGTCACTAAGGTAAACTAGGAGTTTTTGTTCGCTCACGCCTTTGAACGTGTTGTGCACTCCAATCGCCCACCCATTCTCAGCCTCTACGTCACTCATTTTGCCTATCATCTTTTTCCATTGAATTTTGATGTTGCATAATTTACCTATGTTTTAGCAATGGATGGCTTAGATGTGTAATGTTTGTACATGATGGGACTACTCGCCGATACTCTTGATGTGCCTTTCATTATCCCTCCATGTACCAAGACACCTTGAACTAAGTGTGTCTTTCTTCAGAGGAGTGCACCACCATCGGCGCCGGTGGAAGATCCACAATCGAACGTACAAACCCAAATTCATGAAGTGAACAATCGTCTCAACTCCATCTAGTCTAAACTTTCCAAGGTGTTGTCTTACCTTCACCGGAGTACCTCTCGCCGAGGTCATGACCACGACCGTCATTAGACACGAGGAATATCTCTATTCCTTCTTCTATGCTCTAATTTTTCATATTAGGACAATATGCCTTAAGTGAGGGGTAAAGAACAATTGCATCAATTTTCTCTCGATTGTTTATATGCTTGGAATTAAGTTGCCTCGATTAATATGTTGAAATGTCTTGTTGTTGATCTCGATTCTTACTTTATTTCTTTGATTATGTTATAATCTTGTGATCCCCTTTTATCGGATTTAGGGTGCATGATAGTAAAACGACATGATTAGTATTTTTCTTTAAAATTTTTCTTGATATTCCATGAATTCGTTGGTTGATATATTTCTTGATTCAATACACATTACACCTTTTTGTGAGATTTGAGCCTAAACGAGCTTACTTTTCATTCTTGCTCATTTGTTTGATTGAGTGTGTTGGATTAATGATTGACATTCTAGAACTTGTGATTAAATGCATATCGAGACTACATATTGAACTCGATGCTTTAATATGATTAGGACACTTAGGATTTACTCAATTCTCTACTCAAATTGCCTACCCATTTATATCCATTAGTGAACCAATTTTGTGTCTTTACCCTTTTATTTGTTTTTATCTCATTGTTAACCCGAAACATTTTATTTTTTACCCTATTTTTCTACCCTTGTCAAGAAAAAATTGATTTGTTCCATGAAAAAAAGAAAAAGATAGATAATAATAATAATAATAATAATAATAATAATAATAATAATAATAATAATAATAATAATAATAATAATGTTTTTCGAACAATACTTGAACAAAAAAAAGAGAAGAATTAGTTGTTTGATGTTTGTTACAATTTCTCTCGTTGCACTACTTTTACTTTATTTCGTGGAATTTACCTTATACTTGCACATATATTGTCTTGACATTTAAACCCAATTTCGTCCCTTTTCCCCATCTACACCTAATCTCCGTTACAACCTTATTAAAGAGTATTTGATTAAATGCATCTTATTCATTTTAGTGGTGGAGACTTGATTTTCTTACAAGCTTATTATAGATACTATATTTTGTCCGATTATTTTAGTTATTTATTATTATTATTATTACTACGACTACTTTTATAAGACTGCATACATATTTAGTTATATTAGTAATTAATGTTAATTGAATAGGTTAATATTAAAAATAAAATTAAATTTACTAAATTATATTTTTATAGGTTACAAATCCAGTGGACCCAAGGCCCAATATTGACCCATTACAAGACCCATCAAATGGGCTCAACAGTTCCAAATCCTAAGCCCAAATATGTTGAAACAAACAAACTAGGGTTTTCACCCTTTCTCCAGCCGCCGTTGAGACCAAGTTCTACGATGCGTCGCCGTCATCCGGTTACACTCCGACCACCGTGTTGGTCACTGCCAAGAGGCCATTCCTACCACTGTTTCGTAACAGTAAGGAAAAGAATAAAATTTAGAAAAATCAAGAGAAACTCAAAGCATATAATATCTTTACCTACCTCGATTGGGAAGCCATCTCCTACCATGAACATTCTCCTAACAACTCTGATATTACCTGCAGCAGACCACTCTCATTAATGCATTCAACATATAAGGAGAAGAGACCAACCGTAAAAAGATAAAAACAAAAGAAGAGGAGGAGAGGATAAGTTAAAAAAACAGAGAGAAAAAAAAATTTGAACTAAAAGAAAAAAGGAGAAAGAGAAGAAAATCATACCTATCAGGTTTGTTCTTGCTTCACCGAAGTTGAAGGACCTTCATAGCATCAAAGGTAGCCATTTTTTGTTCTATTTTAGAGAGATTAGGAAGGGTGGAAATAAGTTTGGTGCTCGATTTGTCTAGAATTTTGAAAGAGATATTTTACGGAGCTAAGAGGAGGTCACCGGTGCTTCACCAGAATCGCGTAGGGAGCAGCCAAAGGGAAGCTCATCTCCCCTCTCGGCTTAGAGAAATAAAAGAGAGGATGTGGAGAAAGTAAAACAGACGAAGTTATAATGAGGTATATATAAAACACCCAAAACAACGTCGTATAAAGGGGATTAGGGTTTCTACGCAGTGTATGTCTAATTATGTAAAGAGGAGTATTGATTCTATAAAATTTCGATTTAGTCACTAAAATGCAATTTTATCATTTTATATTTTTAGCTTTAAATTTTGTTTCCCTTACATTTTAGTCATCGTTTCTTTAGCTAATATTATTTGGGTAAGTTACTGATTATGAATGTTAATTTATAACTTATTGATTGTTAGTTCTTCGTATTTATTATATGTTATAATGCTTTATTTATACTTTTTGCCATTGTAACTTCACCATGTCTTCATTTTGGTCGTAATTTTGGTTGAATTTTCTTGGGTTAATGTGGATTATTACGTTAATATCCTTTTTTGTGTAGTTTCAATTTAGTCCCTATATTATATATATGCATTTATTCCATATTTTAATAAATATATAATATATAATATAAATATATGTTTAAAATGATATTTACATGTATGCGATATAAGTGTATAATATTAAATATATGATATGTTCATGTATGTATTTTAGGAAAATTTATTTGCATATTTACATTTTATTTAAAGAATGATTTTTTTATATCACATTATATACTTTTATTTCATAAAAAAAATGTTATTATCACTACTATAAATTTTATGAAATGCCTCGTTAATTATTCAACAAATCTATGGAAGACCTCTAAACATTTGGGGTGCCTTTCTGAGGGTTATTCGAATAAAATATTTTAACATTATCACTTGTTGCTTATTAAGTTAATTAGATATATTTTATTATTTTAATAGTTTTTTGTTTAGATATTATTATTATTATATATATATATATATATTAAATAAATATTTTTATAATTATTTTAATAAATATAAATGTTCATTTTTATTTATTTATTTCATGTATTTATTTATTTACCTTTGTTTATTTACCCTTGTTTAGTTTTATTATATTTTTATTGATATTGCATTCATCTTTCATATGTTATTTATTACTATTGCATTCATATGTCATACATTTGCTTTCTTGTTTTCCCAAAAGAATCAAAGTAGTTTAGAAAGAAATTCACTCTTCTCAAAATTCATAGAAATAAAGAGGATCCTTATTTAAATTTGGAATTCAAATTTGTAAAATTCTACTATTTGGATGATATATAATCGAGAGGTACCAATTTTGGGCGCAGTGGGTGTGCTCACCCTTCCCCACGTGTAACTGACTCCCATATTCAAAAAGAAAAAAGAATTTCTGGTAACAAGTAGACCAATTTTTGTCTTTAAACGATTTTTCTTAATATTGTTTTAAAAGACGTTTTTAGGTATTTGACATACCTAACCCAAAGGTCAATGAATACTCTAAACTTCAAATTAAACCAAAATCCAAAAATTTCAAATTAAAGTCATAATTATATTATAAAATTATGATTATGATAACTTGGCGACTTTGTTGGGGACACTAGAGAGTCGGGACTTGTTCGATTATATGTTGTCTGAATCGATGGAATTTTATAAATTTGAATTGTTACTTGAGTTACAATCCTTTTTATTTCAATTCTCATAATCATGCATCATATTTTATTGATTTCTTCTAAATAGTTGCACTAATGATTATATTTCATTATTTTCAGATAAGTTAATTCTTTTCAAAATAAATCAATCTTATTTTTTTTTGGTAAAAGGTTTGTGAGTTATTCCTCACACAAGTCACATGCATTTGCATGTCATAGACTCTATACCCGAGCTTTGTCGCATTATGTGGGAGTGAGTCACTAATGCCTTCATGAGTAGCCCTTGACACAAGCAGAGAATCATTTTCAAAGTACATGCCCTTATGATCTTCGTGACCAACCCTCTATCTAGACATAATGAATATGCTTTCTCGAATTGAACTCGATCCTGTTAAGTCTATAATGAATAAGGATTGAGGGTTCGACAACCCAAGAGGGCACTGACAACAAGGACAATTTGAGTACCTCTGTTACCTTAGAACCGTAACACTACATATAGTGAACCCATGTCCGTCAAAAGTCAGACTGAAACTTTATCCGACCTTATTTACCCTAATAAGTACACAAATGAAGAACTTCTCCTAACCTTTTCCTTTAAATTCATTTAATAGATTTATATTCGAAATAAAAGCATGTGAACTAGATACCATGTGGTTAGGTTATGATTACACAATTCAAGAATGTGGGTAGAAAGCATGTATGGGTAAGATTGTTCCTTTAATAAAAGTATGCTTAGGTAGAAACTATGATATGATAAATAATATTTATTTTATGTTTCTTTCTATTCTTTTTGCTTCCTTTTGTTTGTCGTTGCATATCATCATATCATCATATTTTTTTGAAAAATTTTCATACATGGAGCAAAAGTACTAGAACCAGAATAGCTCATATACAACTGTAGAGAACCTTTGATCCAAGCTCTGACTTAGTTTTAGAACTCGTCTTACACATGCTTTACTTTTAACAAGTATGATATGACCTCGACTATTGAGGAGTACATTGTTTTGTTTAACTTTAAAAAGATTCAGGTGGATCGAATTTATAGCCGGCCTTCAAAATCTCAATCCTTCTTAAATAATATAGTAGTTGTTATGGGGATGGGTGAGAAATGGGCCTTAGAAAAATCAAGAAGAAAGGGGAATGTAATGGACTTGCATGGCTAGCCATCAAGAAGGTCACCGAAACACACCCTAATAGTGACAAAAAATTAATTTTGTTGCCTTAGGGATTTATGGCCTTGTGATCTTCCCTAAGATTTTGGGGAATGTCGAATCAGATGTGTGGGACTTGTTTGATCAGTTGAAAAGAGGAATCAACCCTACGCCAACAGTGTTAGCTGGAACATTTCGATCCCTAAGAACCTTTCGTAAGCATGAAGGATGACAGTTCTCTTGATGTGCTCAATTATTGATATTCTAGATCCGAAGTCATTTTTGGAAGGAAGAAAACGTGCCTATTAGGAAAAAATTATCCAATTATTCTCCTTTAGAAGATTTTCTCAAGTAGGAACGGGTAACAAATGCCCTTGAGGATATATAGACCAATGCTTTCAAAAACCTTAAGGAGTAAGAAATCATGTGGAAGGCACCTTGATTTTATCCGAGATATGTCCTCTATTGCATAAATGACCATTATTGAGTGATGTTTCTATGAATATGGGGAGCCATTGGGTATGTACCACTTCTGGTATTGAGGTAGTATGAAGCACTTTAGTTCATGCCTGTCACCCATGATTTGGCTTTGTCTGATTTTCCTTTTCAATGGGGACACTATAAGTTGAAAATTTTGATTAATTTCTGAACAATGGAGTAAGACTTTCTAAAGCTTGCTGATAACTTCAGCAGTTATTGTAACTTTGATTATGATAATTGAAGGCTTCAAAGAAAGAGCGAGAATCTTCCACAACCTGATGAAAATAATGTTCCGATGGAAGAAGTGATAAGGGAGAATCTTTTTGAAGTCGAGATTCTTAGGAGATGATTCAAGGTTGAGAGAATCGACAGGGTAAAAGAAAGTGAAAAAAATGAAGGATGTGATATTCAATCTGGGATTTGACAGAGATGTTTACAAAACATAAGTTGAGTAGTAAAATAAGGGTAAGGAAAATCTTGAAGAAGACCATGAAGATTTAAAAAAGGTTTATAGGAAATTGTACTTGAATGACTAAATGGCTAGGTTTTGTGAGACTTCAGAACAGTGGGTGAAATAAATAAAAGTAAAAAGACGTGTGTTAAAGTCTTAGAGGATGATAACAAACGTTAGCTCAAAAAGATTAAAGATGAAATAAAAAAGAGAAAAAAATAAAAGGCTGACATGAAGGAAATGATCATGTAGACCAAAGCCTATAGTAGTGAAATTGAAAATTGAAGAATGAAAAGTCTGAAGGAGGAGAACAGGAAAGGATTAGAATCCATGATTTGGAAGCTGAAATAAAAAATGTGTTGGAGTAGTTCGAAGCCAGAGGCCAACGAATTCAGGAACTTGAGGAAGAAATAGAGTTGAAAAAGGATGAGATTTACAATGAAAGGCAAGACGAGAACCCTATCCTTGATAGAAAACAAGTTGAAGTTCAATCTTGGATGCAAAGGTACTCAACCAAGAATCAACGAGTTGAGGAACTTAATAGGGAAATGAGAGAGGTGCAACTAAGGAAAGAGGAATAAATTACCATACTTGAACTAGAAACCTTGAGTTCAAGGATTAGATCTCGCAATTGAAAGAATACCTGCATCAAGAGAAGGTCCCGCCAATGAACTTAAGGTTGTCTCGTGTAGAGAATAGAGCTCTATGAAGATAAATTAGCGGACTAGAGGATGAGCTTAAACAATGCCAGATTCATATCACCTGCCTAGAGAACGAGACTAGCAGTATCAACGATGTATGGAAAGACACCTCAAAGTATTATCGAGCCACCGTAGAAGAACGAAAATGCATGATGAATGAAGCAATTGCATAAATGAGTGATGTAGATTGATACATGAGAGAGTTAGCTAATAGGGAAAAAATTATTTTGGATCTTACCAATCCAATATCCGATTATTGAAGAATGGTCACGGGGCTTATGAATAAAATTATAGAACTGAATATGAGAGCTAGGCCTTATCTGTAATCAAACTACTTTGTATTGCTTGAAACTTTTTGGTCCAATGAAACTTGTTCTATGATATTCACTATTAGGGATTAATTCCTTTTTTGCATTGGATTTTTGCACTTGCATAAACATTCCTGCATTTATTGATTAATTCATAACATGCATTCATGATTAAAGAATAATAAAAATTAATTTATCGAAGATTATGTGATAGAAGATACTGGCTGAAAAAATGATACATCGATATAACACTCGAGGTAAAAGAATCTAAGCAAAATTTGAACAAATGAAGAAAGAGATGGAAGAGAATTTAATGAAGATGCAACATGATTGGGAAGCTAAAATGAAGTAGAC